CCCGCTACCTCGCCCAGCTAGTTTTTTGTATTTTTTTAGTAGAGACGGGGTTTCACCGTGTTAGCCAGGCTGGTCTCGATCTGCTGACCTCGTGATCCGCCCTCCTTGGCCTCCCAAAGTGCTGGGATTACAGGCTTAAGCCACCGCGCCCGGCCCAAAGTTAAACTTTTAAGTTCCTCCCAAAGTTAGTCCGGCCTACACCCAGGAATGAACAAGGGCAGTTTGGAGGGTAGAAGCAAGACGAAGTCAGTTTGGTCAGATCTCTTTCACTGTCATAATTTTCTCACTTGTAATTCTTGCAAAGATGATTTCAATAACACAATCCAGGGAAGTAGGAATTTGTTTTTTTTTAGATTCAGGGGGTACATATGCTTGTTACACAGGTATTACAGGTAACATACATACATGTATACATGCGATACATACTACCTACAATGTCCAATGGACGTTGTATCCAATAGGTAACTTTTCAACTGTCACCCTCCTCCCTCCCCACCCCACTTTTGGAGTTCCCAGAGTCTATTGTCTCATCTTTATGTCCATGTGTACCTTTTGTTTAGCTCCTACTTGTAAGTGAGAACACGAGATACTTATTTTCTGTTTATGTGTTCTGTTTCTGTGAGGATAATGGCCTCCAGCTCCATCCATGTTGCTGCAGAGGACATAATTTCATTCTTTTTTATGGCTGTGAGAAGTCCAATCTTACGAATAAAGCAATAGTCCAGCAAGAAGTAAAGAAAAGTAGTGTATTGCTTAGAAAGAGCAGCTGTCTGAAATCTTTCCAGTGAGCCCCAGCTGCACTTCATTTTATTTCCTGCCTGTGAGATTCCCCTGTATTCTATTTCTTTCTTAGGCTAGTTTGAGTGGGCTACTGTTCATAAAATCAAATGTCACTAAGGTATAGTTTCATACCCTTTCCTGATTTTTTTAAGTCTTAAAAAGCTAGGGACCTAGAGTTGTACTACCGTGATATAATAAAGAAAATTGATCTCAAATCAACCTCATTCTATATGCTCATTGTTAATGTGAGGAAATAGTCTGTCATAGGAATATAAGGAGTATTCATCACAATTTTATTTTTTCTTTCAATACTAGGGAAAAGATTCAATATCCATAGTGTGGAATTATTATAATGGCTGCAAAATGTGGAGAGTTTTTAGTAGAAAAATGATAATGCTATGTTTTGGAAAAGAAAAAAATCAATCTTTTCTGCCTTCTAAAACTTGATGAACTTTACAGGTTACCCCACTGCCAAAAAAAAGGAAAAAAAAAAAAAATCAACACTTAAATCCCAGGTAACTCAGATTCCTACTCCATCAGAATTTAAAAAAAAAAACTAACTGAGCTTTGTGGTACAGGAATATTTTAAAGAAATATTCCTGAACAAACATTCTTCCTATTTTGAAGAGGCAACTGTGTTCTTTAAAGCTGGGCTTCTGCCCGGCACAGTGGCTCACGCCTATAATCCCAGCACTTTGGGAGGCCAAGACAGGGGGATCATCTGAGGTCAGGAGTTTGAGACCAGCCTGGCCAACATAGTGAAACCCCATCTATACTAAAAAATACAAAAATTAGCT